GACAGCGAATCTATTCCGCCGCTCTGATATTTTTATTACACTACCGTCGCGTCGGCGAAAACAAAAAAACAAAAAAAATGATAAACGATAAATACAAACACGCTTCCCTAGGGAGATGCATTTTTGATGGAATAATACTTTATCGTCGTCCACGAAGGATCGATGGATTCGTCCATTTTTCTTTTTGGTTGAGGTAAATCCTCGACGGTGTTGGTGTGCCTTTATAATTAAGTAGGTATTTATCTTGGGTACTTACCAAATACGGAGAGGCAGAGGAAAATTGACGAACCTTCCAGAATTCTCTTCTCATCTCCACGGAGTTGCGGCTGAAACAGAATAGGAAAGTGGCAGTGATGAAATAAGCGATGGAAGGAATAAGGGTAGCGGCGAGGCGCTGATGGGTGCATAGCTGCCGCAGCTTTAAGCCGGTGCTGTCGTGAACGATCCCTCTGGGGGTATATACCGTCTTCGCAGAGCCTTGTCCGGGCAAAGGGACTGTACCCTGGTGGATCCTTTACGACTCACCATTAAGATAAATCTCGACGTGCAGCATTTAACAAAATAGAGCATAGGAATGAACGAAACGTAACTGAAACGGAAGAAGTTGGGAACGTGGAAGCTTGAGGCTCTGTTAGGATATGCGCGTAAAGAGCCGAAGGCTACTTCCGTAAAAACATTTCTCGGTACATACGATCGAGAGCCCAAGAAAAGCAAAGACGTTCGAAGGAATTTAAAGTGGTCGGAAAATCGATTCACTTGCCGCGAGCTCAAGAAAAGCTGAAGAAAACGCGCCTTTTCTGACCTATTTAATCGATACTGCAGGGATCGAGGTTCGAAGGGGACCGTCTTTGTTCAGCCGATCCATCGCCAATAAACTTTTTCTTATCTACTCTGATAACATTCGACCGTTTCGCAGGGAGAAAGGATCGAAAAACTGATATTACCGGTCGACGCTTTGTCCGACGTTAACGAGCGTAGACAGACGTTTACAGGCAGACGAGCAGATGTTGCCGATCGTGTGCTCTCGATTTACCTCGTTTCATCGGAACAGAAGCGACCGCTACTTGTTGACGTCGCTTTTCCGGAATCCTCGTCGAATTATGAATAATGGATGGGGAAGGTAGGGGTTGCGCTCGAATCCGCACCGAGGAAACTTCTTATCGCGGCTGCCGCGCTTCCACCGACTTCTTCTTATCTCGAGCGATGCACTCTTACGTCTGGAACGACTGTGTTGCAGACGTACCAGCCGTTTTTGCGCTTCTCAATCTTACGAGTGAACATGTAGGTCAGCCAGATGCCCCGTCCTTTAACACGTTCGCTATCACAGTAGGAATTGTCGTGTCTAGTACTGTTTATGATTTAGAATTCAAATGAACGCCTCGAATTGAAATAGTCTAGAAAGAGCAAAGCTTTTTTAAAATATGTTTCTGATTCATGAAAGTACGGTTCAGAGGACAGCGGTGGAAGGTGTGTTGGAAACGCTATCGGTTGAATTCGATTGAGCAGAGGGAATAGTCGGGACAGTAAGTCCTCGATGTTTGGCCGGTCGTAAAAGTAAATCAGTTGGCGGTAATCTGTTTCGGAAGATGGCGATTTCTCGCGGCTCTTTGGCACGCGATAAAGCAGTCGACTTTGTAAGACTCTATTTCAGCTGGTGAACGAATAAGGGAGGAAAGGAAAGGAGAGGTAGTCTGGTTGCTCACCTATACGCCCTATCGGCGAAGAAAGTAGTAACTACCGCGAAGTTTGCGCCGTTAACTAACGAGAAACCACTCCGGAAACTTGCAGTTTCAATATTTTCCGTCACTATTTGGTCATGTTTATAGAAGCGTGGATCTTAAACACGGAAACGCTTGAAGATAAAATATGGAGATTATTACTTCATTACCTCGTCTGAACTTTACAATAATTTACGCATACCTCTGCTATGTATAACTTTGTATGAAAATTTCTCGAATAAAATTGTCGTCGAAGGAAAGTCACTTTTGTCGAGGTCGGTTCACTTACGACGAGACGAGAATTAAATGTACGCGCTTTACAAAGGGGTCGAGCGACGTTCGAGTAAAAATATGCTTAGCCAAACGAGACACGGTCCTCGTGCCATTTCGACCCCGCACTACGGGACAATAAAACTCGATGGAATTTACAGCGAAATGAGAGTTTTCTTTCTCAGCGGGCTGGCGCGGCCCGGCGTGGCGCGCCGTGAAGCGGTGTGACCGCGACGCTGGAAAGAAGAACGAGCAAGGGTCAAAGAGTGCTTACGGTTCTCGCCTACCACTCTCTAGAATAGAAAGTTTTATTCCGTCCTACGAAATGGAACGTAACATTCCGCCACCGTTACTCTTCTGTCTCTCTTACTATTCACTCGTACGGGACCCTTCCATCCCCTATTTTCTACTTCTTCTTCTTCTTGGGCGCGCCAAACTTTCACCACTCTTTTTCCTCTTTTCTTGTTTGCTGAATCTTCTACGAGCCTCTCACCATTCCTTTCTTACTTCTTCGATACCTGCTATGTATTGCCTTTCTTTCCTTTCCGTGCTTCCCTTCTTTTTACCGCTCCAACTTCAATTTCTTCTACCAGCCTTTTCTACTTTCCTTTTGCGCTTTGATCTTTCCTACCTTTCCATTTTCACGTTAGCCAGAGCAATTTTGCGCAGATTCAGCCCGCGTAGGAAAAAATAACGTTAGGTTAGGTGTTGACTGATTTTAAGCTGATGATTCTGACGTTCTCCGAAAAAATTAAACACGTTAATTATCGTATTAAGCAACACTCTGGATTTTTCTTTCCATTTGTGGTTAAAATAAGTAGAGTATAATGGTGAAATCTTTCCATAAAAAGCTCCTCGTGCTGCCTTTCAGAGAGTTAGATGTGGCGGCTAGCGGCGACAGAATAAAAAACAAAAAGGGAGGAAAACGAAGGGTGGAAAGAGACGGAGGAAAAGCCGCGTATACAGATTTGCCGGAAAAATTTGGTGCTTGTCAGCTTTTCAATCGGTCACGTTGCTCGACGCGGCGTTACAATGTCAAAATATTGTTTCGGACAAGTCGCTTTGTTGAAATATCGGCCGCGTGCCACGACTGAAAATAATGCATCGTTCGGTGCACCGTAACTCGTATTCCCTTTTGTTTCGGAAATAATTCGTTGCCAGGTCTACCCGGGTGCGTTCATCATTTCTCGAAATCCGCGGAAACTTTTCACGGTGTATTTACTTTTATTTAAAGTTTCGTTCTTATTAAACTTGTAATTACGATCACGCAGTCATTACGGCGCAAAATGTTGGCCCCTTTTTCTGCATATCAAATTTTCCCAACATTTTTCCTAGGTACGTTTTTCGAAACGTCCCGTTTTCCGCTCTTTTGTTTGGTATTTCATCAATGCCTGTGCAGTCGAGTCCCTCCCAATTACGCGGACACCGTTTTTCCGTGGAACTCGGACACTCCAATCGGCACGGGGGAAAGCTCGTGGACGCTGGTCGCGTAGAAAGTCGAAGCTCTGTATTCCCGGGAAAAAAAGAAGAGAAACAAAAAAGAAAAAAAGGGTGGACGCGTTCACACGCGCGCAATTTCGCCTGGCATAGCGTACCGTGTGTCAGGATTGCAGGACACTGCCAATATGGATCGGACGTGGTGCGAACACTGTAGGTTTCGCATTTCCGTTCTGTCTACATCGCGTTGCCTCGCGTTACGTCGCGCCGTGTGCCTTGTGATCGCGGCAAATGCGCGGAAATGAGGCTTTCGAAGATGGAAACCCGGCCGTCCGTGATAGAATTATACACAAATTTTTTTCCATTTTTTGTACTCGTCATTACCGTGTCTACTAATGGCTCGTAGCTCTTTAATCATCGTCAAAGCTGCAAGCTCTTGTTCAACGAACAAAAGTTGAAAGAGAGTTCCCTATTAATCGATCGAGCGTTCCGAGTTCTCGCGAATACAGGCTAGTAGTCGCTTATCTTTGCACTTTTTCAACTTTCATAATAAATCAGCATTTGGGTAAGTTTAGAATATCCAAGGGATTCATTCATTAAAATTTCTCCGAGTAAAATTGATGGCGCGCAAAGTTTTTCAGTTCGTTTACTTCAACTTCTTTTCGCTAATTTGAAATTTGAAATTCTCCCTTGCTTCCTCAAACGAGATTTTAGGAAATATCCAAGAAGCACTTTCCACGCGTTTCCAGGGAAACGAGTCAACGATTTATGACACGGTAGACATTTTCTTTGATTTAACTCGTTCATTCCTTTTGGAGATGTAACGATTTTCTTTGACTCGCAATTTTTCAAAGAAAGTTGTCTTTCGTCTAGTCGGGGCGCAACGGGACACGGACAAAGAAAATTCAATTTCGTCGTCCCTCTATGCTCGCTACTGCATCTTACAAGTTTGGACTTCTTACTTGTTAGGAAGCTCCACGAATTGCGACGTGTGGGGTAGGTCGTGAACATTCTAGCAGCCCGGTAAATCATTTATCCACGAAGAAATTGACAATCCGAAGTTCTAGAAGCTCTGCAAGTTCAACCCTTCGACTGCTAAATACGTAATTCCTAGTAACCAGGTAATACGGCTAAGACGAGCCACTCGGATCACAGAGTTTTAGGCAGCAGTGAAAGAATTAGCGGCACGTGTTATCCAGATGGCATCGCGGGAGAGAAAAATGCGGCCAAGTTTAGGAACGACACGCGACCCACGTGCTCGAAAGCGCAAACGATTCGATCGCGAACGAAAAGTAAGTAGGGCCGATAAACGCAAGAAAACTATCAACAGGTAGCAACAAGGTCGGTAACTACATAGTTGGCCAGCTTAATTAGAGTTTTTCGAAAGAGTGGTCGGTGGGCAGAAAAGGTATAAACGACGGCATAAAAGTAGAGGAAAGTACACATAAGAAAGGAAAGGATGGAAGGGTGGTAAGGGTGCGCTGGCGCAGCACGCGCACGGCGCACACATGTTCGCCAGATGAGAGGGAGTGGGAGGATACCGCGAGGCGGAACGGAACGGAACGGAGCGGAGCCAGCGACTGGCCGCACTCGGCGTAGCAGCGCGCATCGCGAAACACGGTGGTGGCTAAATCTTTGTCCGCTGTTTAGCTCTGATTCAGTCGTAGTTTCGAAGCGGCGCCGAGCGAGTGACGGTTCACTCGGTCGCCACTCCGTCCGCTTCTTCTTCTTCTTCTTCTTCTTCTTCTTCTTCCTCCTCCTCCTCCTCCTACTCCTCCTCCTCTTCTTCTCGTTTTCAAACCTTCTCGCGATTTGCCTATAATTAAACACCGTCCCAAAAGAAAGAAACGCTTCCTCTCCTTGCCTCTGCCGTTCACCTTGTCCTTGCCGCGAACAGAATGAAGCAGGGCGGTGAATTCTTCTCGAGAGTCGACGAACCAACCAGTACGCGATTCTATAATTAACGGGATACTCGTAGCCACGTTTCGGCCAGACAAAACGACGTGCGCCACGGCGAACATGCCTGCCGAGGAACTCGTGTACATCGTGGCGTGAGTTAAACCAGAACGAAAGTGGATAAGGATAAACAGAGGAGGATCGACTGGATAAGGGATGCTTTCGTGTGGAGGGAAACACGCCGACGGCGAACCTTGACCGTGAGTTGGCCTATTGACCGGCTCTATTTTCATCTTTCCCAGCGTCGGCATCGTAGAGTGTAAAAGTGAATAAAGAAGAATAAAGTTTTTCTCGTGACGGTGCTTTGCTGGTAACTTGTGCGACGAAACTGTAACGGAACTAGCCTGTTTTCTCGAGTGCTCGACCCAATTTTCCGAGAATTTTGTGTTGGCGCAGAGGCCGGAGAATCGTACAAGTGCGTTCGCGTTCGCGTTCAAGGGTTGCCTGTTTTCGAGCGTTTGTTCGCGATGAGCGAGTAGAAAAGGAGCAGCAGCAGAGAGAGATCGTGGAGGAACGCTTTTAAACCGATGAGATGACAGTGCTGTGCGTGCTGTGGGCAACTCTGTCCACCGTGGCATCGATCCTCGCCTGTTCCGGATTTTACTTGCCTTATTGGATTCAGGTGAGCGATCTCCATCTTCTCTTTTGCTCGATCCAACGCGCGACTCCCCGCTCCACAGAGCAACCAACGTGGCACCGTTCTAATTGCGGATCGTGCTTGATAGCTGGCCCAGCTGCACTCTACCTACTCCTTCCAATCGTATTTTTATCGCAATACACACACTGTGTTCCATGCTGCTCTTTCTAATGCTTTTACTTTCGTTAGTCATCAAAGACATCATGGTCCACGTGCGAAGGAACTCGGGGAATTCATTAGTATTTTTAACTGTAGAATATATCCTCCTGTTCTGTCGGAAAAACTCTGGGGCGCTGTACATATTTCTTTTGATCATCGATATTTCGAATCTCGATATGATATTTCTTCTCTTCCGGTTGTTCGTTTTTCTGCAATTCGTTGATGGACCAGCTTCGCGCCAACAACTCGTACGTACTAACTCGCAATCAGTCCGTTTGAAGCGACGAACGGCGCAGACAGAACCCCTACGGTGTGACAATGTTTCCTGTCCCAATGACGAATCAATCGTTCCCGGAAATTTATCGCTTTTCAAATCAAATTGAATCCGTACAGCGATCTGGTCGCGTCGTAACGCCGGGATCAACTGGAGTTTAAAAACTCTTCCACCAGAACAAGAACACGCCTCGCGTTCGAGAGTTAAACACCAGATGCGCTCGTTAATTAACGAGACGAGACTGCGAGGAAACGCAGCCACGGATAAAAGTGAATAAATTCGGTGGGGAGCAGCAGCGAAGGCTGACCTCGATAAAATTAAATTTCCAATATCAATTTTACCGTGCTATGTCGAACGAATTGCGTTGGCAGCGGGTTTTGTAATTTAAACACAGTCATTTGACCGGATTAATAAACAGTGCCGGGTAAATTGTTCTTTGAACCGTGGAGTGAAACTAACGAACCTTGGCTAGAACGAATCACTGATCTGGATCGTTGAATCGACGGATCTTTGTGTAATTTTTAAGTAGCTTCGCTGAAAGATTGTTTTAAAAAAGTAGAAAAGAAAATTTGGAATGCCATTGAAATGACCGAAAAATGGCAGTCGTTGGGTGGTCGTGTTGTCGCGTTCTCGCCTCCCATTTCTCTGGCTAGATCGAGAAAAACAAGGGAAAGAATGTTTTTAAAAAGAAGAAGAACACCTATTTAAAGCACCTGCACACATAGGGTGCGCTGCAACGAGAGGTTAAAAAGACGTCGATGGTTCCCGATGTTCTTTGATAGCATCGAGCTTTCATCGAGCCGTTAGTTTCGCTCCATAGTCGTAAAACCGTACGACGTCGTTTTTGTTCGGGGAGGAACGCGTTTAGAGGGTAGAAGGGAGCGAAAGGGAGAGAAAGAGTGTACGAAGAAGGTTAACAGGAGCCGTTTGCGTGGCAGGACGTTTGGCAAGACATTGCGATCACGCGAGAAGGGAAACTTTTCGACAGCCGAGGATCGTTGTTCGGCGCGAGCATTAAATTGACGCGAGAAGCTCGAGCAATTTCGTAGCATCTCTGGCCGCGTCGCGAAACCGACAAGAACCGGCTGGAAAGCGTCGAAGCAACTTGGAAACTCTATCGCGAAAACGGCAACCCATATTAATGTCTCCCGGGATGCGGAAACGTTGCCTCGGGTAACAAAGATCCAAAGAAACGTTAATAGGTTTCGAAGTTCTCCGCTTCCGTTTGAAACTGCGAGAGACGAGCGTGTGTACTTTCATCGCGATCCCGGCTGTCTGCACGCGAGCGTGTGCAACTCCTTCCTTCCACTACCTCCGTTCGCGCTAATAAAATTTTATCGACTACCGGGAATACGTCTTTATACCTTAAGATTATCCGCCTTTCGATGAAAATATTTTCGATTCGCTGCTCGAAATTCAGCTAAACAGAAGATTTCCCAGCGCGAATAATCCTATAATCACATTTATCGTAAAACGCACGAATTGAAAAGTTTCCGCAATTACGCCGCTGTTAAACAGCAACCAAGTTTCCGTTTTCCAACTTCCAGTCCAGTAAACGAAAGGGTGAAACTTTGGAAGGCGAAATTCAACACTTTCTTCGCCCCCGGAGTAAACGACCCGCTAATTCTCCCCTTTAGCTTACTCATTTTCCCCGCGTAATCGAGCGTAATCAAGCGTAATTCCATTACACACACACACACACACACCCCAACCTTTCGATATATTTCAATGAATCAACACTTGCGATGAAAGGAACACCGTTCCTTTCAGTTTGCTGCATTTCCTATTCAGAAACTGGCAAATGGAGAGATTTGACGGTATACATATTCTGATTCGGATCTGTTCATGATCCGAACGTAACTCGGTAGGCCAAAAGCCGTGGAATCGAGAATGGTTGAGTCGTGTACCATTAGCATGCCGATGAGCTCCGAAATTGGCAGATTATAAATTTTGCATAAAGCTGTTTATACGGTTTAGTCGCAATGGAACGCGTTTTCGGCCGGCCTCGTTACGACGCTGCGTTTAACGAACCGTTTGCAACCGGTCAAACGAGGAACGACATTCAACAAGTGCACGCGAAAATGTTTCGGATCGTGCGAATGATCGACGAACCTTTAATGACGAATGGTATTTCCATAGGAACCGTTCGATTCATAAAGCCAGATGAAATGTAAACGCGCTTCCTGTTAAACGTTTAACTCTCAGTATCTACTGTGTGATAACAGATATTTACACTAGTATAATCGACCAGCTCCATACGCGGAACAAGCAGCTAACTGATTTTGATTCGTAACAATCGGAAATAGCCAGCTAGCTAGCCGGTAGGAAACTTTTCGAAGATAACAATGTGTATTCTACCTACCAATATTGTATTACGCGTTGAAACATTCACGAAGGTTTCGCTTTATTTGAAAGATCAATACCAATAATATCCTCGAGCTGTTTCCAGTTCCACCCTTGGCGCAATTACATTAACGAAATCCAGAAACTTCAGGAAGAAAAGAATAAATCGTCGGCTATCGAGCCCGGGGAATAAATACCGTTTTAATTCCCGCCTCGTTATTCGCTTGACGACCCTTTAATACACGATTCGGTATGAGAGTTTGACCCACTGACTGGAAAGTTTGCCGATTCTTCTTTGAGCATTAGAACGTAAGAAAAATCAATTTACGACTTCTCATTTAGTTTCGAGCGTTCCTTAGGAATTCAAAAAGTCAGTGTAGAACTTGAAAGTCGAAACTTTAGATTGCTCGCTGGTTCGTTCACTCGAATCCAAGCTGCGCTAGCAAGCTCGTTAATCCGACGCAGATAACGGACGCGAAAACAGTCGATGAATAATTTGGACGCCTAACGTCCCGTCCTTTCGAAACGTATATCCTCCTCGAGCAGTCAAGCGTCGAGCGAACCCTTTAAATGGCTTTGAAAATACTCGAGTAGGAGGGATGAATAAATGTATAAGCGAATTTACATTTGCGATCCTACGTTCTCGCTTCTTCGCTCTACTATGCGTGTTGGTTAAACTAGTAGTATGGCAAAGCTAGTTCAGTCAGACACGCCGAAAGAGTATACTACCCTACATTTCACTCACCCTTTCAGCAGTTTCTTGCGAGAGAACGAACAAGTCATTTTCAATTATCATTACTGTCTATTGTTATAGAGTAAGTGCTCCTTGGTTAGGAATCTGTTAACGAAGAAAGGTGAATTTGCGGCAACCTCTAATTAGAACCATTTACGATAGGGTAAAATAGAGTTGGATCGTTTTTGGTGAACAATTTCCCCAGAAATTCAGTCGGACTTTCGAGGGTTCATTCGAGTGGGAAAGGGGCGCGCGCTTTTAACAGGCTCGCGTGCAAGAAAGTCGTGTTGCGCCCGCGTCGCGACGCTCAACGGCCGTAGCCTGCAAAACTTAATCTCTCGAGGAAGAAACTGTTTGGCACGGGGTCAACGGTTTTCTTCGTGGATCCAGTTGAAACGCAAAACCTCCGTTTGGAATCCGGCGTAGCAAGAGTAACGATCCATCTGCTGCTGTTCTTTCGATCCGAGTACCATTAACCCAGACCGAAATTCTCTCGAAAATCAGCGAGCAAAAGCAACCTATTCGCGACGAGATTCCTCTTTGAAATTTCACCAAACCTCCTCCTCGTCGCTTTACCTTCAATTGCTCGTCGAGAGAAGTTTTCAACTCCGTTTCACAGTAAAGAGCAAGGGGAGAATAGTCGCGAACAATTGACTCGATGAAATTAGTAATATATTCCGATAGAATATAAAACGTTTGCGTTACTCTCGACGAATATTTCTGGAAATTCGTGAAAAGTGAAGAACTCGGACAAGATCGGTTTCTCTTTTCCTTTCACAATTATTTTCCTGAACACGCGATTCTTTTGGATTTCAGGGACGACTGTTGGGAAAAGCGGACGCGTACTTTAGTTCCTTTCGACGCTGCAACTATCCACGAATAAGGGCGCCGAACACTGCTCCAGAGATAGTGTACGAGTGCGCCAGGTACTCCAGGTACGTATATCCCACTTTTCTTCGCTTTAGACCCCATATCTATACGTTCGATCGCGTTTCACCAAGTTTCCTGCTTATTTTTTCCATTAGCTTCGCAAGCAAAGTAGAAAATATAAGTCTACTTTCGAGAGCGTATGATACCTAGTCAGAAATTCCATATCGCGACCATGTTTGCGGAAAAATCTTGCTTCTCATTGGCAAATAGGCAAATTTTTATGAATGAAACGTAGCAAAGATCACGGAGAAATTCGTACGGATTATTCGAAGCCAGTCTGCCGGAAAAGTTCAATTTCCCGGCACCTCTTCACGCTCTCGCCCTCCCTTCGATATCGTTTCCGTTCGCAAACGCAATCGGCGAGTTAATTTCGTTCGACGAAGACGTAAGGTCTCGTAAAATTTTCAACCACCAAGCAAGAATAATTCCACGGAAAACGAGCACGATAAATTTGAAAAACTTTCTACGATAATTCAACCGCATTTTCCACGAGTTCGTAACATAAACGCACGCTAGTAACGAATTCGTTATTGAGAAACAGATAACTTACACATGGATACGATTTGCGAAATCATGAAATTTTTATTTCATTTATTTTTTCCACTCGATAAAACGGTATCTTTTCGTCTCTCTTTGATTCGCGTGGTAGGAATTTAAAATGTAATTTCCCAGTAAATATGATTACACGTGTATCCGCTATTTTAACTGGAAACCAGGAAAATTTGTTTTGACCGTTTGCTGGTATCAGCTCGATGTCGTTTGGTGATACGGATTTTTCCTGTATAAAACTGCTATGCTCGTGAAACAAATTGCGACACAGATTGATCACGCGTTTGTAAAATGTTTGCTGCAATTTTTTTGATGTTACAGATACGTTTGAACAGAGATTGCGCGATGATTTCGAAATAGATGATACGAGGCAAAAATTGAGCATTAGAGTAAATTGTACGGTTTCCGAGGAAAGTCATATATGGAGGATGGCCGCAAAGCATGGGTGTAATTTCAAATCGACGATCACGAATGACTGCGCGTCTATATCTCTGGGTCTATGTACGCGAGACACCGTTTACCACGAATCTAACCACCGTACTATATGGAAATGACCTATGTTACGTATTTCAATTATGGATCAAAGATACTAAACACGCATACAAGTACACGCGGATGACGATCTGGTTTAGTTTGCTTTCGACGTATGTATGTTTGGTCAAAGGAGAGAAATTTAATGGAAATGAAAATCACACGGTGAAACCATGGGCGCTTCTTTGACCAACTGATGTTTTGGATGTTGGAAAATTGAAATTGTTAGAGAAAAGCGAGTCGCAGGGATCGAAATTTAAAATTGTAGTCGATTGAAACGTTCTACGCCACGGTCGCGCGACTCGTTCGAAATTTTCAGCTAAAGCCAAAGCACGTTAATTAAAAGTAGTGCACCGCTATCGTTGCTTCAGCGATTCTGACGCGTTTTTTCACACGGTGTTTACATTTCATTGGAAAAGCCGTATGCGCTCCGCGTGTTTCAGGTTATCCGAAATAGTTGAAGCGTGTGGCCTGTTTCGATTCGTGAAAGCTTCTTTGCCTCCGACTGCACCGTCGAAAGACAACACGAAACTTTTCAATATTTATTACATCCTTTCGTTCTGGCGTATAATGCACGATAAAGAATGCAAATTCAGAGTTTCCAAAAGTGGATACCAATTTCACCTGCATGGACGTTTATCGATACGGCAAAAGCTATTCTACCAATCAAATTGGCGATACACAGAGGAGCGCGAAATAATTGAGAAACTTAAAACATCGACCTTCGATTTTCAAATCATAATCGAATCAACGACCACAATTATCGAACGATAAATAAACTCAGCTTGAGCGGACCGACTGACCGAGGAGAAAATTTAGTTTAACTTTCAATCAAAGTTACGCTTCAGCCCGGAAAGCGTTAATTTACAACTTGAAATTCAATTTCCATGAAATTTTGTCCACAATACAGTTTAACGAACACACCCGGTGGCCAACGGTATAACTGGGAAAATATTTGATTGCAGCTTTTGGGACATACCGAGCGGCTGGTGGCAAGCGAGTACCGTCACGATGGGAATCGGCGTCGCGATCGCCGTGATCGGCGCTTTAACCTTGCTCGCAGCAGCTTCGAGCTTCCTTCCACACATCCTAAAGACACCAAAACACACCAGAGTTTTGGGTGCCTTGCAACTACTCGCTGGTGAGTATTACTCGCAATCTTCCTCGTTCTAGCGACGTTACAAGATAAGGGGCAAGAGTATAATTTCCTAGGGCCTAGGCAATTCGAGATTTATTTCCTCTCCGTTTCTCTTTGCTGCTCAACCAAGTATCGAGCGGTGTATCGTTGGAGGTCGAGGCTCGTTGCACCGGCCGATTACGTTCCGCGAGTTTAAACGGTAAATAAAGCGCAAGCGGGTCAGCCGTTTTCACAAAAGAATAAAAAGCTCCAAAGTATCCACGGTGTGAACGTCCGTAGTTTAATCGCAAAATGCGATATCGAACACATTAAATATTGAAGATAGCGGTTAGAAATTTAACGAAATAGTTGAAAATTTGTCCCTCGTCGATCGACAATAAACGCGAAATGAGAAGCTTTAATAACGTACGAGTAGAGACTTTAACCCTCTTTGGGTCATTTACCCTGTCTCCATTCGGCTGGCGAACGGCTAAAGGCAATAACCGCGATCCTGCTGCGTCGAAGAATCGAGCCAACAGCCAACAGGATTGGCAAGCAGAAAACTAATAATAATTTCAGAAGAAGAATATATTTATAGGACTTACGTAAAAGAAAGATTAAATTTGAGAGAAAAATTGGGCAAAGTAACAATATCTTTGGTATCCGATTGCGAGTACCATCTGTCCTGATGGATACGTTCAGAAACTGATCGATCGATCAATTACTTGTCAGACTCTCTACTCGTAATTGATGTAGCTGTTAATAAGCTGCGGAGTGACGGTCGCGCTATACTCGCGGTAAACTTTACACCGGTGCCGGTGTCTCGACGTCGAATCGACGACAATGAGGTAGGTAACGCGTTCTATAGCAAGTTTCACGATAACTTCGACACTGATCGTGAGTTCTAGTTTATCTCGCATAATAGACGAAACAATAGATTTCCTGACTAGGTTGTACGATAGATCTGTCGGTGTAGAACATCAGCTGGTAAATTGAATTTGTCTCGAACGTTCCGTGTTGTCCTGCTACTTTGTACAAGTGCACAAATAATGAAAGAAGAGTAGAGCGTGATTCAGGCTGAATTGAAAACTTGGAGAGTTTAATCTGACGATGTTATTTTAGCCTGGAGGTTAGTATCGTTTTAAAGCAGGATAAAATTGAACGGTTTGCAAAGTTTCGAGAAAAGCGATCCGGCGTGGATCGATCGAGAAGTAGGAAACGAGGGAACCAAGGAGAAACGTTAATAGGAACGTCTGGTTGTTTGCGAAGCAATGGAAAGACATGAGGTTTCACGAGAACGGCTAGAGAACCGACTGTCCACAAAGAAAACGGATATTACTCGAATATCATTCTTCTTTCAAACGTTGACGCGTTCCATTTTCTCGCTCGCGTCGCTTTTCCACTCTCGACTCCGTCGCGTTTAAAATAGCTTCCCACTATTCCTCGCTCTGCCTCCATTATTGTTATTAATAAACGCTCGTAAAGGATTTACCCTTCTATTCTTTCCGATCAAAAACGATTTATAAAATGAAAAATTGTAGAAAAAGAAAGCTCTTTCTTCGTCATTCGTTGCGATTCTAAGCAAAAAAGATGTTAGCAAACGGCGCGAAGAATGCTTTGCAGCGAACGATGGTTGTTCGTCGAAGCGACGATAACGCGAAACGCACCAAGGCAAAACAACCTGATGAACGTAATCGGTGACGGCTGATGCCCTCGGTTATCCAACCTATCGCGTCGACCGTGTACGGAATGCCTGGTATTCCGATCGACCGTTCAACGATTAACCCTTCTGTTGTTGGCTGCTGGAAAATCTGCTTTTCCTGCCACCTCGTGTAACGCGTTGTTCCACTCATTTTTATTTTCGGCTAGAATAATCTGATAACGAATCGTTTTCTGTTCCTTTTAATTATTTCATTGAATAGTAATTAGATCAGTTAACATTGAAATAATTAAAAACGTGGAACGCTACACGTATTTGAGCAGACAATTTAAATTAATTAGTTTCGAAAAGGGAAAAAGTTGAAAGGAAATCGAACATGTATGTACGCGTAAATCGAAACAAGGTTCGAATTATATCGGCTTGATTTTCCAACGGGTAGCAAGAATTCGAGGAATTCCTGGTATTTGCTCGATCAAAAGGATCGATCCCGTAGTGGATGGAAAAGACGGGAGATTTAAATCGACTATTAACCCTGTGCTGCCATTTTCTCGTTACAGCAGTGATGATATGCGGCGGTCTGGTGATGTATCCCATAGGATGGGACAACCGAGAGGTACGGGAGTCCTGTGGGAAGGGTGCTAATGTATACAATCTCGGTGAGTATAGCTCCGAGGACCGATTTAACGATCCAACGTCTCCTCTCTTTGCCGCGTTCCCCACAATTCTTGCGATAGACGAGAAGTTTTTTCGTTCTTTTGCAATGTAAACGCGATAGTAAGGAGGTAACCGCGCAACCATCAGACACAATTACAGTGTTAGATGGCGGCTAACCAAAGCGAAGGAAGGAAGGGAAGAGAAGGGACGTGTCAAGGCGTTGACAGACGTATCTGGCATCTGTTTCAGGAAAGTGTTCGGTGTCGTGGTCAAGCCACCTGCTGGTAGGCTCGGTGGCGCTGTTAATGTTGTGCTTTGGATTGAGCTTCTGCGCGGCACGACACAAGCCGTCCAACCCACACACCGATCCCCTGCGCATTTGACAATCGAGATACTCGCAATCGATTCATGCCTACGCCTCGCCGAAGACGACCAGCCTCTCCTTCGTCACGGTCTGTTGATTATCGCTCCCCTCACGAGCATCCAACCCACCAGCCTTGCCTCACCTCGCCACCTGCGTTCACCTGGGTATACACTGGTTTACACGCACCCACCTGCGTAACGTCGTACCACCCACCGTCTACTTAGAAACGAATATTTCGTGTCCGTTCGCATCTACAGACAGTGAACGCAAGATTTTCTTATATACATAGGTATACTCGTATGTATAAATTGTCATCACTTCAATTTTACGTTTTACACTTTCCTACACGGTTAATGTTTGTACACGTGAACGAACCTGTATGTTGTAGAACGTAAGGATAATTGAACAGGGAGTTTGTTGCGTTCCGTGACGAATTTCATGTGTCACTCCAGCGTGACTATGTCGCTTCGAGACAAACTACACCTTTAGACGAGAGGTAAACGAAGTATTAGGGTAATTGGTTCGTTAACCCTTTAGCTATCTACATGCCACGATAGTGGTTTCCTTTTGAAACGCACTTTCTACTTGGCTCTTATCTTCTCATCGTTTAGTTCCTTCCAATTTTACTCTACTCATTTCAGCCGCGGCTAAAGGGTTAAATCATCGATAAGCGAAAACTTCTTTATAAGATACGATTGAAAGGGAACGAAATTCTGAGCGTTTTCGATTCCTATTTCGGGACTGGATCGTTCGACAAGGAAAACTCGTCGAGATCGAATCGAGATCGTGCTCGATTAATAAAATTACCAACTAGAGCATGACAATTTTAAATGTCTGTCGAATCCTGTTCCAACTTGTCTTCCAAACTTGTAGAGGTTGTGCTTGAGTATTTCTAAACAGCTACGTGTTTCGCTTTTCAAACCTACTCGTTTCCTGCTCTCATTTTCCACGTCCCTGTTTCTTCTGTGAGAAGCAGTCACGGTTTGCGGTTAACAGGTTCGTGTCATAATCGCGTTCGAATTCTCATTAGTTATCGTTAGCGAAATTAAAACGTTGAATAGTTTCGAAGGATCAGAGGCCCTCGCGATCGATTCTCTGCTGCTTTTCGAGTCACTTTTTCGAGATTTCGCTGGAAACGTTATTTCTCTCTCGACACCTTCGACCGTACTCGAGTTCAACGGTTGCTTTGCCACCGAAGGGACAATCGTACCCATCTTTTTCATGCTGTCTCTTTGTTTATGTCCATTGGACTGATTCTCGAGATCTGTCGCCAACAGTTCCAACACCGAGGATGGAATGGACTTTCCACGCTTTCACCCCATGCTTTCTCGGATTTCTTGTTTGTACAGGATTCAGGGTGTGAGACAGGTAACTAGCACAATACCGGGACAAAGTGTCCCTGGGAAAATTACAAAATCTCCATAGAAAATGTCGAAATTTAACGTTCGACTCGTTAACAACGCGAAAACAAAAGTCTAAAACTAAACAAAAGCTGCGTTCCACTCATGAACGATTCCCAATTAGAATAATGAATCGCGGCGATATGCCGTCGACCCCTTTCCTAACCTGTGCGCAGCAGTCTTCTCGAGAAGCGTAGTTGGTTCGCAATTAAAATTACAATGGCGGCTAGGAAAAATCGGGAACGTGTCGGGCTTAATTTTCGAGCAGAGAACGAAAAGCCGACATTCCGTGAAGGTACTCGCATTGTCCGAACTAAATCCACCTTGCAAAAAGCGAAAACGAGCCAAAAGAGGCTTCGCGCATCGTCGCTTCCTTGCAAACGCATTCGGTTGATCCAATTTCGATGCACGTTTCGAATTCATCGTAATTCAGACCGCATTTTTTCATTTGGTCGTGATTCTTCGTTGCAGCAATGTTTAAAAAAATAATTTTCATCAGTGTATCTTGCGTCGCGTCGTAAGCAACGAGTATATTTTCTCGCAAACGTGCCACAACGAAAGGGTCAACGCTTTTTATTTCCATTTACTTACAATCTAAAGGTATATTGTTCAAACCGACGATCTTCTACCAGCTCCGAGGTTTTCCATCTATTGAAAACATACGCGGCCTTTTAAACTTTCGGTAGAACAACGAAGGATAATTTTGCAGAAAATGTCGTTTCACTACCGTTTCCTCGTTACCCGGCCAGACGAGATAGAAAGGCGGACTGGGACAAGCCCTAAATCGCGAAAGGGTAGACCGCGGACACAATTAGTCGACGCGTGGCGTTAACGAGGCCAAGAAAAGGAAAGCAACGGTGGAGGCGAACTAGAAAGGTGGCAGCAAGAGTCGCTTTTACGTTGGCGGTTTCCGTTTCGCAGGGTGGTCCACTCGACTTGGTCGAAAATTTAGCTCGCGCAAAGTAACAGAGAGGTAAAGGGGAAAAGAGAGGGGCGAGTGGACAGTGGATGGGACGAGAGTAAAAGAGAAGCGAAAAGTGAAAAGCGAGGGAGGAGAATAGAGGCCGCGGCTTTTAGCGATTTCACCAGATTTTCAAAGGCGGCGTTGTTTTTCCCGTCGCGCGTTGTTCAGAGAAATCGTGTAACACGCTTCGCGTTTCCTACTCGCTATTCTTTTCTCACAATTTTCATCTCATGGACCGTGATTTTGCGATTCCGATCTTCGCTGTGTCGAGAACTATACGTTCGCCGAGACACTCTGACCTGACGTGGCTTTTTGCACCCTTCGCGGTTTCTCGAATAGATTTTTATTCTTTATCAGAGCGTGAATTTAGCGGAATTGTATCGTTATGTACACTGTGTTTGAAAAGGGAAAAGGGAAATGGCGTTGCTGTGAACGGAGTCGTCAGTTAGCAAATCCCTGTCTCGCACAGAATACGTAGTTATAACAGTTTAACGGAAACGACTTTGAAAAATCCACGAGCATGGTAAGAATAGTTTCTTTCTCGAGAAAGGAACGTTTCTATGTGTCGTTTGCGTCGACACACGCTTTGTACGCGTGTAACGGTGCTCGTCCTGAAAATTATTACACTCGACTTCCCGTTTTTAACGTCTTTTCGCGTTCGTGGAAATATTTTCTCGGTGAAAGAGTAGTTCCTGCGGAACGGAAAGGAAAAGTAGGGGGTTTAAAATCAATCGTCTAGCGATCGACGCGATCGATCGGTCGATCGGTCGATCTATCGACTATGTTAGCTGTCCGCGAGATGCTCGAAGCAAAGTTTCCTTGTAAATCTCGCTCTGCCCGCTCACGTCTTTGCGACTCGCTTTCCTCCTCTAGCTATTTTTCTTTCCGCGAGCCCGCTTTGCCTCTTATCGGAACGCTCGTCGAGCCATTTCTCTCGCTGCGTACGGGACACCCAGTCGAGTTTATTCTCTCGACTAATAGAGCTATCGAGAGGCGAACTCGTCGAACGAAGGAATTGTTTGGATGACAATCTTGCTCAAATTGCTGAAAGTTTGCTCAGTCGTCTGGAAGGTTTAAACGCTTTTTCACGGTACGCGGGTTTTTTCAGACGCTCTGTATAAACGCTTTAAGTTTCGTGTTCGTAATTGGAGGGTTGCCAAAAATTCCCTTTGATCCGCGACGACGAGCCTGTCGGAAAAGATCCACGGGAACGGCAGATCGGAGAGTTTCTTGAACGTCGTGTTTTCTGCACCGTTGTTCAACAGCCTCGCGACGGAATATTCAACGAGGCCGCGAGCGAAACGCTCGTCGATACCTCGAATTCCTTCTCGATATCGTTCGACCTCGTTTTTCCGCGCCGCCTGACGTGATACGCGTTATACAGGGAACGGAAACGAACCTCTTAGGAATACAGGTTGAGGTACGAAACGCAATTTCGTAATAGTTTCCCCCTCGGTATATGGATGAAATTTTCCTTTGTTCGCGTTACCGAGTCGAGCGGTTCCTCCACGGTGACAAGGGGTGCTACTAGCTACTAGCTACTACCCTTTAACCGTTTCCTGCTCCTCCCGTCGATCCGTTCGTGTCGACGATTAAATCAACGACCCGAGGCGTACACTTTGATTCTTTGAGCAGACTCTGACGGCATAATCGACGCGTAAACGACACTGCAAACGAGACATCGTTGCTGCTGAACGATGCAATTTGCCCCTCGTTTACAATTCGATCCGGCTACGAGCATCGCGTTGTCATCTCGATTGAAAATTATTTCGTAAACCAGCTTTACTCCTCCGATTGTTTACCCAACATCGTTTCCTCTTCATTAAACAGAGGGAAGAAAACACTTTTAATACGTTAAATTCAATCAAATAATTGATCGAACGATTGCCAGTCGTTTTCGTAAACTCCAGAAATAGCGTTAAATCGATTGAGACGGATTTGTAACCGTTCCACTCGATCCTTTGCTCCTTATTTGCATGTAAATTGCTATCCTTTCGAGGACACGAAAAACCTGCTGCCTGAATACGTTGTCGACGGTGAAGAACCTTCGTGAATGAACCCCTTCGCGACGGAGTTTTAGTAAGCGCACAATTTCCTTTGTTGTACGATTTGTCCTCTTTCAAACTAACTTACAGCGCTTGCATACGAAATTTAATTACAGTTAAATTGTAACTTCAATGTTTTCTAGATTGTACGATCTAGATCGATCAAAGACAGATCCAGTCGAACTAAAAGAAAAAAAAAAAAAGAAAAAAAAAACCGTGTACTAATAATTGACGTTCGAGGAACACTATTCAATGTAAATAACGGTAGCGCGATCGTGCGACTGGGTGGCGAGACAAAAGTAAATTTTGTTTCGCGTCCGAAATGGGTTCGACCGTTTCGCGTTGATGAAGGTTAACCAAAGGAAAATAAAATTCGGCAATATTTTTTCACAAAAAATCAGACCCGTTCACTCGAAACGTTCGTTAATCACGTTTCTTTCTCAGACCAATCAATGATTTTTCTGTTTCCGTGGATTTCAACAATGCGAAACGACGAATCCAGAGTTTGGATCGAGCGGCGTGATCCAGAAGAGGATCGTTGTATCTCTGTGTGGTGTGTGCTCGAACGAGTGCGGCCGAACTTTGGATTAACCTGTTAACTGCGCGAAGATCGAATCGATTGATTCTTAAAAGAATTATATCTTTAACCCCTCCGAATCGACGAGGTGACCTGCTAATTGGCGACGCGTCGAAATGAATTTAATTGCATCGTTACATTCTAATTAAGAGGAAGGTTCATCGTACGAGTATAGGTTGCATACAAAATTAATTAATTATACCCTCAAAGGAGAAACAGGTCTTTTCAGATTGAAAAATTATTCGGTTAACAGGTTAACTGAGTTAATTTTCTACGATAAGGAACAATATAGAAATTCATGGATGCGACATACAAAAACTTGTGTACCGGCTCGGGGGGGGGGGGGGTTAATTGCATCATTACGCTTTAATCGAGAGGAAAATACAGTATATTAGCATACGTCTACGTGCAAGATGAATGAACTTTTCTTTAGCGAATTTTTGTTGCGAGAGCGCGAGAGTGCAGTTTTTTCGGGTTGAAAAATGAGTCGGTTAACAGGTTAACGACAGCCATCGAGAGCGACGTGAACTTTACGAGTACACCCCCTTGTACATATTCTATACATGTACGTATAGCGCGTAAATACTCGACACGACGTAAATGTTACGTATTATTATATTTTATAATAAAATTTGAATAAATGAACCTTTGATTGTGCTTCATTTTCCTACCATCCAATTTTCCATTTGGGAGAAAGGTTTCCTAAATAATTCTCACTGGATTCCCTTATACCCGGAATAAAAGGAAAGCTGGAAATAGGCAGGCGGCGGAGAATTAATAAATTAGCAATCGTATCGATTCAACTGCGATTGCTAAGTTAACGATTTCATGGGGAAACGGTCGAGCTAACTCGGCTAAACGAAACGAAACGAAACGAAACGAAACGAATTCGAATTCGAATTCGAATCGATACGCGACTAATCCGCGACAATGCGTCGTTTATATCGGAAACAAAAGGTACGCGATCCGAGGCAGGTGAAATTAATTGGCTGTCGCATCGCCGTGACCGTCCAACTACACGAGCACCAACGAAAATCCAATAGTTTTCCATTTTTATCCAATCCATTGTCTTCGAAATTCGGTGAGAAGGGGGGGGTTCTCGTTCAACGACTCGAATCGAGAGCAACTATTATTTCGCTGAATCGTAGCCATCCCTCTCCTCTCTCCTCCTTCCCTTTTTTATTTCGAATACATGTTGTTTAATTGGAATTCATTCTCGACGCCGCGTACAACGGGGCAACGTAAATATCGCGTCTCGCGCCACCAAACTTTACAATTAAATGATCCCTGAACTACGGGGAATCGAATTTTTTCTCTTTTTCCGTTAACAGAGTCGCGTACGAAAAAGGAATCGGCGGAATAGCAATCGGGCGTGTTTAACGCCTTTCGAGAATCGCGGACGCGATTCGAAGGGAAAGACAAGCTACTCGAACGTCACAGAGAAAGAGAGTCTTTAAACTTGAGATTTTTCCTCGAGTTACCTTGCAATGGACTCTCAGCGGTTTCAAAGAAAATCTCTTTTCTCACTGGTTCCTAGGCTTCCTTTGTGAATGCTCCAACACTCGTAGGAAGAGTATCCTTCAAGGAAAAGCCTTTGTCCTTGTCGATCTTTGAACGCGTTCGCGGCTCGTCTTCCTAGGCGATTCGTATTTCTCTGCCGAGTGCTTTCCCCAATATTTCCATATTATATATTCCGTCCTGCTTGATGCGTCAGAATTTATGCGTTTTCATGGACAGGAAGCTGGGAAAAAACGGTCTGACCGTAAATCATCCGTGTTCGATGCTTAGGAAGAAGAAAAAAAGGGAAAGAGGAACGCGACGAAGAGTAGAATACGTGGTATAGGGAAAAAATTGCATCGAATTTCGTGGATGGTTGTGGCAGGGTAGCCGGTGTTCGGGGCTTCATTTTGGTCGGGGCATCGATACGGGTTACAAGCGACCTCTAAAACCAGCCATCTAATTATCCTGCACGACGTACTTAATTGCTGACTACGGCGGCTGCGGTGTTCGGGTTAACTCGACGCTCGGTTTTCCAGGTTACAGTTTCCGCTGCCGCGCCGCGCCGTTCGCAACGGATAAGATCATTTTTTAAACGAAATATTCACATTTTCAACACGCCGCGCCGTCGCCCTAACTCCATGGTAGAAAATTCTTTTCTTTCACTCGCCCCCGACTGTGTTAAATTCCAGCCGAAATTCCTACGATCGTCGAGCAATCTTTGATTTTAATAAAAAATGTAGAAGACGTAAGAGGATCGGTGCTGTTGCACGTGGTCTCGGAGGGTAAACGCTCTTAGGTTCGACGTGGCGAGATATCGAGACGTCGTTCCCAGCACTTCGCTCGACCGACGATAAATTTCTTTTCTGGCAAGCTATGGAAAAAGCACGTCGAACGACCAGCCAACGAAAGAATGGGCTGACGTGCAGCGATACAGACGAAAAAAATTGCTGCCACGATAAGAAGCAGCAAGAATGGGGAAAAACGATGACGAAGAAGAAGCGGCAGAAAATGTGGACAGACGTGGATTAGCGAGGGAACACTTTCGGAAAGATTACATCCTGGAAAAACGCATTTTTTTCCCCTTTCTCGGTATCCTTTATCGCAAGCCGCTCCTAAAACTGACTATAGTTGTTCAAAGAGTTAAAAGTAACAAGGCTGGAACAGGATGGAAAACGATCGGAAAGTTTCGATATCGAATGCGAACAGGACGGGGTGAAATTCAGCAAGCGGAGAGTCTAGTCTAGCAGTTTGTTTGAAAGTTCATAGCACGGCCGTCTGACATATACGCGCCCTATCTACTTGAAGATTGTTCCTTTCGTGACACGAGGAAACATCAGGAAGACGCGATGCAACTTCGACAGCCACTCTTTCCGTTTAAATTCGTCTCGCTCGGTTTACCTGACTTGTATCTTCTTACATACATACGCATCCTCCTTCTGCTCGCGTTTCTCTCGCATTCAAATCGAATCGTCTGGGAATAGATGCGTTACTTCCTCTTTGATCCTCTTTTCGAGACGCAGTTCGCTGTTAAACCTTTCCCACGACGTTTCCTATTTATTTCCCATTCCTTCTATAGATAAGTTGCCAATAGAAAGATATAAATATAAAAGCGAACGAGGGTAATTGGGTGTAGCGGTGTCGCGAGAAAATATCGCCTGGTCGGGGGATTTACCGGGGGGCCATCGACTCATCGGGATAACGCTCTATGAGCTCTCCTTTCGTCTACGACATAAATTTTCCAACACCTTTTCTCTTGCGGTTATCGATCACCTTGCTATCGAATGCGACAGCTTTCGCGGAAAGAACGCTTTCTACTTGAATTTTGAAACGTCGCGTCGGGTGACACGATCGTCTACACGAGAAATTAACAAAGAAACGAGCAGATACTTGGAAAGGAATAGACTCGTTCTCTCTCTATTAAATAAATCTCTGCCGGTCTTCCTGTTGATCTTGGTCACTTTCCAACACCGGATGAACTTTTATCGCATAACAAAATTCGACGTCGCCTTTCGTCTCCAAAAGCAAGGCGTCTGATTCGCCTGGCACTCGCATTTCCAAATTCTACAGGCTGTTTACACAAAAGGAATGGAGCAGTAACTGAGCGATGCAAAGCGGACAAGCTCATTGGTAAAACCGAGCAATGCAAAGTGGAAGCTTGACAGTCCGTTCGTGAATCTAGTTGCTGAATCACTAAACAGATTCAAAGCTGGAATCTACGTGCGAAGTAGCACTTGTCTACGATCGACGCGATACCCCTTTCCGTTTGCGTTTCATTCTCCTCCCCCACTCTTTCTTAAGTTTCCTCAAAATTCTTTTCCGCGAGTTGGATGGTGCAGAGGTGAGCAAAGGTGCGTAAGAGTGGTAGTGTCACGTGAAATAAAACACCGGCATAACTGTTTTTCACTTTAAAATTTAAATTACGCGGATTTACGTCGGCCAACGTTGAAATATGATAACCAAGCTGGCAGCAAGGAGAAACTCGCTTTAAGCGTATTTTTTCTCATTCCTTTGGATATTGTTTCAGCCGCTTTTGTTCCATCCCCTTGCCCCTCTAACTCTGTTCGCTTTCCTTCCCTTTTCGCGACATTCCAACGACGCTGTAATTTGCAAACTTATCGAGCCGCGTTTTGCGACTTCCCCTCGGAACCGCCAGATAGAATCGTTTTTTTATTTCTCTTCGCTTTCCTTTTATTCACGAATTTCAATTTCTCGAAGCGACGGGAACGGAGATATTTTATTATTACAAAGATACGGTTAATTAATGTTTTAGCAAGAATTCGAATCACGTTTACTTTGCTACGGCAACTTCGTCAAAGTAGAAAGAAGAAAGTAAGCGGTGGAAGAGAGGATCGTTTCCAGTGGTCGTTCAATTTTACTTCCGTCGTTTTACATGACGCAGCAGGAATGCTTGTTCTTATCTGGTTGGCAAGATCGTTACTGTTATCCTTTATCGCGATACCTTTTCAGACGCAATGCGAGTACGCGTAATGTTCGGTTGAAAATTCCCGCGGAACTGTGAACCGTTCAGGATACAGTTCCGGTACGTTGCGCGACAACGAAATAAACTCGACGAAACTGCACCCTCGAAGCGCTCGCGACTGAATAAAATCCAACTGTTTACGACGTTTCGTACCGCTTAAC